TTTCAGGCCAAATTAAGGATTTTCTCAGTCAGGATGTTCATCTGTTTAGTAGACATACTATCTATTCACCATTTACTCAACAAATATTGTTTCCTGTATACCAGAAACCATTCTAGCTGTAGGAGTGAACAAAACAGACCAAATATGCATTCATGGAACTTCCCTTTAAGAGGGGAGTACTGAGAATTAACAGATCTATATGTAGAAATATAGTGTGTTGATGGTGCTAAATGTTTAGAAGAACACTGAGGCAAGAGAAAAGGGAAAGGGAGTATCTGAGCTGGGAGGGTATTGCTACTGCATGCTAGGTGATTGGGAAAGGCTTCCCTTAAAAAGGTAGCATTCAGGCAGAAATCTAAAGCAAAGGAGCAAGCCAGGCATATACAGTCTGTAGAAGCAGAGTATTCCAGGGACACAGAGCCACAAAGCAAGAGCGTACCTGGCAAGAAGGCCCGTGAGCTAAAGCAGAGTGGGCATGGAGAGGAGTGGCAAGGTGAGAGTATGGGGCAGCTCCAAGGGCCTTGGGGACCTCTGGGAAGACTTTGCATTTTTGCACTGAGTTGGAAAGGCTTTGGAGGTTTTGGGCAAAGAAGTGACGTGGTCTGACTTGGGTTTTAAAGGCGTTCCTTTAGCTGCTGTGTTGAACACAAACTTTAATAGAGCAAGTATAAAACTAGGGAAACCAGCTCAGTAGCATTGTTGAGGAAAGGGTGCATATAGTCTGGCAAAAATGTTTCCTTATAAACATCACATTGGTTTTACAGTTCTACTGACTGGGCTTTGGAAATTATTTTCTTTCAGCTAGTATTTTACTCAACTACAGCTTAAATTGCCACAGTAGCAATATAAATTATTTTCTAAATATAGTGAAATATATAACTTTTTCTAGCTTTGTGGATTACCAGTTAATAATAATACGCTTATAGAGTGTTGGACAGTCTAAAAGGAGTTTTGCATTCGTTATCTCATCTGATCCTCACAGTTCTTTAATATTGACATGGTAACTGTTAACTCCCTACAGAGTTGGAAACTAAAACATCACATGCCAAGGCCAAAGTCATGTGCGAAATTTGTGACAGGATCAAACAAACCTCGGTCATCTGTCTCCTAGCCCAGATTCATTGACTCTGTTAAAGGAGACTGTTACGTTCAAATTATGTCTCAAGATTGCTGATCAGGGAGACATTTATATTAGCCAATATAATGTATCATTTAAAAAGCCATCGACCAGTGAGCAAGATACTGTGCTTGGTAGCGATGTATAAAGTATACCCCTACCGTGTGAACTTGTTTCTTTGGATAATGATACTGATAACAGCAAAGGCATTAAGTAACTCTTAGTATAAAATGTCATAAAAGCCGAGTGTGGAGGCAAACACCTGTAGTCCCATTGACTCGTGAGGCTGAGGCAGAAGGATCACTTGAGCCTGAAAGTTTGAGGTAAGCCTGGGCAACATAGCAAGACCCTGTCTCTGAAATACATACATACATATATTACAAACATAAAATATATGCTTTTTCCCAAACAAAAGGTGCAGACAGTAGATGTTACAACAGTTTGACGGAGGTAGTGACTTTGATGGGTGAAACGAGGTGGGGGCAGGATTCAGATAGTGGAAAATATAGAGGAAAGGCTTCTAAACCTGGGCGGTGGGAGGGAGGTAAAGAAAACAGAGTGAACAAAGCCTTAATGATGTTTTTTTTTTTTTCTTTTGAGATAGTGATTACAACGGTCTCACTGGAATGCAAAGATTGATTTGAGGATGACTGGATGTCTGCTACTTTCACACATAAAGTACTCTGAAAAGCAGGTTAAGAGGAGAGTGTACAAAAGTCATACAGTAGTAGGCTTACATGTATGTTAAAAAGATGTCCAAAAGCTGGAAAAATGCAGTCAGGTTCTTATTTACACCTTGTCTTTTAGAATAGAGTTTAGCAGTTTTGTTGCTTTATTATTTTCTCTTTCCATTGAGCCACTGAAGTCAGATGTGTCTGATTGAAGATTTGCTGCTCTTAGCATACCTCTTCATTTGCAGGCAGCCCCTTCTTCCAAGAGCTCAGAGTATTTGTTCATTCACAGTCTTCATCTGATGTGGCGGCTTAAGAATAGTTTAGGGCAAACTTGCCCAACCCGTGCTCCACAGGCCACATGAGGCACAGGATGGCTTTGAGTGCAGCCCAACACAAATTGGTAAACTTTGTTAAAACATTATGGGTTTTTTTTTTGCCCCCCGCCCCTTTTTTTAAGCTCATTAGCTATCTTAGTGTATTTTATATGTGACCCAAGACAGTTCTTCCAATGTGGCCCTGGGAAGCCAAAAGATTGTACACTCCTACTTTAGGGTGTCAACATATAAAAGAACAAATTGTCCAGAAGAAAAATATTTAAAGCTGAGGGCCCATGATAAGAACTAGATTTGAAAATAACACCAAGCTGTGTAGAATCTAACATTTGTTTCAGTTCAGCAAACATTTCAGTGTCTACTGTGACTGTCTACGAGGTGTTGTGCTAACTGCTGGGGCACACTTGAAGGCACAACCCCATTCTTAAGGAATTTATGTTCTGGTGTGTGGGGGGGCATGTCAGAGAATACTTAACCTCCTCCTTAAGGAGAGAAATGATGTAGCGAAAGTGTTATATTTAAGGTTTAATATGATGGTGGCCTAAGAATTATGTTGAAAAAATAGAGAAAACTAGAGGCCAAAAGACCAGGGACTTGCCAGTAAAGGGAACATTTATATTAGCAATATTTTTTTTTGAGATGGGTCTCGCTCTGTTGCCCAGGCTGGAATGCAGTGGTACCCTCTTGGTTCACTGCAACCTCTGCCTCCCAGGTTGAAGCAGTTCTCCTTCCTCAGCCTCCTGAGTGACTGAGATTACAGGTACCCATCACCATGCCCGACTGATTTTTGTATTTTTAGTAGAGATGAGGTTTTGCTATGTTGGCCAGGCTGGTCTCGAACTTGTGACCTCAAGTTGATCTGCCTGCCTCAACCTCCTAAAGTGTTGGGATTACAGGAGTGAGCCACTGCTGTCAGCCATGTATTAGTAAATTTAATTTATCATTCAAAAAGCCATCAATTGGCCGGGCACGATGGCTCACACCAGTAATCCCAGCACTTTGGGAGGCTGAGGCAGGTGGATCACCTGAGATCGGGAGTTCAAGACCAGCCTGACTAACATGGAGAAACACTGTTTCTACTAAAAATACAAAATTAGTTGGGTGTCGTGGCGCATGCCTGTAATCCCACCTACTCGGGAGGCTGAGGCAGGAGAATCACTTGAACCTGGGAGAGCATGTCTCTGTAGCAAGCCCTTCAGATAACACTCACTATAACCTCTATCAGGAGGCTGTATGAATTCAAGGTGGTATGCACAGGCAGATGTAAGCTCTTTTTATTGGTATTATCACCCCAAGAAATAAATTCACAGGGTAGGAGTATACTTTATACATCTTTAAATGTATCCCTTCCAAGCACAGTATCTTGCTCACTGATTGATGGCTTTTTTTTTTTTTTGAGACAGAGTTTCACTCTTGTTGCCCAGGCTGGAGTGCAGTGGTCCAATTTTGGTTCACTACAACCTCCGTCTCCCGGGTTCTCTCATCACTGAAACAGAATCATCAACATAAAATAACCACACATACTTGTGGTTTCCATTCTTTATGTATTCATTCATTCAACAAATGTTTATTGAGCACTTGAAATATACCTGGCACTCTTTCAGGGGCTGGGAAGTACTGTAGTCAAGGAAAGAGCCAAAGTCCCTGCCTTCATGGAATTTACATTCAAATGTCAGTTGTCAGGCACCACGAAATGAGCTAATATATAAGAAAATGCCTAGCACATTGTGTGTCACATAAGTACGGTTCAGTAATAGTTCCTGTGTTTGAATTGGAAATTTGAATTAAGTGTCTACTCTTGGCAAGATAATTAGTTGCTGTACCCTTTTGCCGGACGGAAGGTCAGGAGAAGATTAACCCATTTACAAGTTTTTTAAAAATGTTCCACGAAAAAAAGTGAGTCTTTTGTTCAGTGTAAATTGTTCCACGAAAAAAAGTGAGTCTTTTGTTCAGTGTCAGTATAGTTGAAGTTATGTGCTATTTCAGATGGAACCAGTTGTCTCTGCTGGACCCCTTTTGCCATAAAAGAAGCATTGAAGCAGGTGCTGCTCTCTGCCATCAAAAGTGGTGTGCTCTTGTCCTCCTTGGGTGGTTTTTGTGGGCTCCCTGAATTCCTGAAAAGGCTCATTGTTGTCACTGAGGATGCTTCATAGAAATCCTTTGTGTCATTACTTAGCGACTGACTGCTTTGGTGAAATCTATGTCAATTCTTTTGTTAACTGTAACAGCAGTCAAAAATAATGTCAGAGAAAAGAAGGATAAATGAAACAAAGTCTAATAAGTGCAGGCATTACACACATACATCTTTTAGATAAATTTCTAAGTATTCTCTGAAGTAGCATTTGCCTTGTAAAACATGGGAAATTCTAATACTACGTTCATTTCGTCTTCGTTTCCTTCAGATACGACCTGTTACCCATCGCATATGAATGATTTTTCCTTCTTGGCCTCCCTTTTGGCCTTACTATTACTTAGATGACAGGACTATTTTGATAATTACACATATAGAGCAAAACTCATCCTTTTTGTGCATATTTTTTTGCAAGAAGATTCCATTTTCTTAATCTACCTACTTTTCCTGAAAAACTGGGGATAGGGTGATGGGTGTATTTACATTGTTGTAAGCCAAGGTTTGATTTCACTTCCACTTGAAATAAACTTGCTTCTGTAGAAACCAGACATTGTTCAAAGTGGAGGAGTTAAGACCTTACATTTTACCTTCAGATAAAAAAAAAAACTTTTCATTGAATTTGATACTTGAATTTCAGATTGTGCAAATGGTGTCATTTTTGCAACATGTGTGCATATGTGCTTTTAAAGAACAAATGCTGTAGCTACATGGAATTGGTTACATGGAATTTTCTGGTCTCATTTTAGACGTGAAGCCCTCCAATATGCTAGTAAACACAAGAGGACAGGTCAAGCTGTGTGATTTTGGAGTTAGCACTCAGGTATGTCTCTTTTTCCTCCCAGTGTGTTCTCTTCTCTGCAACAACCTCCTTTATTTTCAGTCTGTTCTCTGGATTGAAAAATCACCTAGCTGCCAGACAAACAGAAACACTGCATCTTTTCCTCGGCTGGGAGTGTGTTATTCATTTTTAATCTCTGAGCGAGTTTCCTTCATCAGAATATGATTGTTCATTGTTTAATGACAGTAAAAACTGCTGATATTGTAATTACTACTTACGAATAGCAAACTTCATTGATATGCAGCTTTGATATGAAAGCGTTTTGGCCAGACAAAAGGGAGGGCAGAGTGGGAGATGTGCCTGGGGAGCCCAACTGGCCCACAATAAAAATTAATATTGGGAGCAACAATGGTGGAGGGCCATTACAATGTGCAGCACAAATTTTAATTAATTTCCATTTTGGGCCTCCCCTGAGAAACCCAGTGATAGTGACCCATGAGCGTGCTGTGATGTTGATTTGAATTGCAGCCACCTTTACTCCCAGCCAAACACGAAGACCAAAGCGAAGGTCATCGTTGTATTATGAGTTGTCAAAGTCTGTTATCCCTCCAGCGTATTTAGTGTTCGTTTCATTCTAGTAATGCATGGGGCTTCATTCACATCTTGAGGCATCAGACTAAAAATTGAGTGTGTTCAAATTCTGCTTTAAATTGACTTTTTCTATCAGATGGGTTTGCGGTACTAAAGCGATAAGCATCCTGCTTAAGTGAATTAAGGTTATCTGCTATAAACTGTAATGCTGTGCTTGTTTAAATTGAAAGTCACATTCAAAAGAAAAGAGAGATTTAATCATTTTTAATGCCTTTGTAGATAAATTTGTTCCCTTTTACATAATTTTTAGTTGATTTATACGAATGATGATTGTAGGTTAAATGAGGAATAATTGCCCATTTTATTTCCACATTATCTTTATATTGTTCTAACAGACTGTTTTGTCTCATAGCTGGTGAATTCTATAGCCAAGACGTATGTTGGAACAAATGCTTATATGGCGGTAAGTAAACTTATGCAAAAATAACATTTAAAACCAACATCTTTATCTTTATGTACTTGGTAATGTATAATTCTTGAATTAATTCCACAGCTTTAGCCTAGCAGATCATAAATTACAAAGTCAATCTAGTCATGATCTGATTTTTAAATCTTTCTGAAAGACATTAGGGTTTTTACAGGAGCTATCAACTTATCTGACTTTGTGGACTTAACTGCTTGGTTCAAGTGTGAAATCGCCGAGTTTTGAAGTTTAATCCTACGGAAAAATCGCACCTTGTAGCATATTGGCCACTTTTCCACAATTTTAATTTCATTAACCCTCAAGTATACCCAAATGTCAGTCAGTACAATTGGTTGTTTTTTTCTTGGACTACAAACATGCTTTGTCACCAGATCAGAATTAAATTATTGATGTAGCCAAATTTTATTTATGGATCTCTGAATGTGAGGGTTTAGGGGGCAGTTCTCTATAGAACCTCTATATTTTGTTTACTTGTTTGATTTATGCCTATTCTAAGATTAGTTGCACTGAAATAAACTTACCAACAATAAAAAATAGAAGCATAAGGCTGTTTCAAAGACCAATGTAGACTTGGCTTTTGAGTAAGGGAAATTATTTGTATCCATAAAAGTAATTTATTATGGGTTTCCATAATAAACTTGAGAGTCGGAGGGAAAAAAATTAAACAGGAATCTTACCTAATGTTATTTTTGGAGCAAAGTTTTGTCTTCTTATAACAACTTAAGGATATTTTTTGTAAGAAAGCTCTAAATTTATTTAGGTACTCTCATCTCTAATAGTCTTTGTTTATAGATCATGAAATCAAATGATGTTAATATAGATAAAACCATGAGTCTTATTCTCAGTATTCTTTGTTTATATATATTATCTTGATTAAAAGATTTAGGGATGGAACCTTATTCTAAACCTAATTTAAACCTAAACCTAATCTCAGAACAATACAAAACATTTTGTTTTCATTCAGATACCAGAATAGCTCATTTTTGTCTTGCATTGTTTTTAAAGAAAGTTTTTACTTTCTTGTTTTTTGAAGCATGATAATAGGAAAAAAAAAACCTCTGATGTCGTCATATCTGTTTTTATAAAACTTAATCACCTTCCTTTCTCTACCAAGTTAGATGATATTGGTGAGCCACCTTTATAGCTTTGCTGAATGCTACAGTTGCAGTCTTTGAAAGAATATGAAGCACTGTAATTTTTTAAAAGATGGGGTACATGACTGTAAATGAAACAGTTGCTCAACTACCCAGCATGTTCTTAGTAGGTTTAAATTCCTCTGATAATTAAATTGCATTATATTTGAATGTACAAGTCCAGATTACAGTTGTCTTTCCCAGGTGTACATTAAAGAAATTAGTTTTTTATTTTTGTTTATGGATGAATGTGATGCGTCCATCTGTTAATTGAAAATGTGAGGATTGAAATTATGAAATGTTAGCTCAGATTGACATAACTAAAATTGGTTTGCTTCTTGGATGAGTGAATTCTTGTCGTCAGCTTTGTAGTTCAAGCTATAAAAAGCGTAAGATACCTAGAAAAGGAGAAATAATAGCAAAGCAGCATCTTATACTTTTTTTTTTTAGCTTTAACTACAAAACTGAGTTTTGCTCAGTTCAGTAGGAGGCTCTTATTACCCAAGTACTATTTTACATGGTGTGAGGTTGGGGATGGGAGGAGGTGGAAATAACCTATATTATTATAATAAAGGTGGGAATCCCTGAATCCCTGCCTTTTATCTGCTGACAGTTTCTTGAGAGAGAAGAGCTGAGCTTTTTTTTTTTTTTTCAAAACCACAGTCGTTCTCATTTTAGCTGGTATATTTTATAATTTTGAGTTCAACATTAGGCCCTATGCCAAATATCCATGAACTATAGTTATTAGGCCAAATTCAATTTACTGGAACAATGTACTGATCATTCTTCTGAGCTCTTACTGCCTATTTTTGTAAATAAAGTTTCACTGGGATATGTCCACACCCATTTGTTAATATATTATGATGCATGGCCGCTTTAGCACTACAGTGGCAGAGTTAAGTAGTTGTGACAGTTGTAGCAGAGAGCATATGGCCCATAACATGAAAAATATTTTCTAGCTGACCCTTTACCGAAAAAGTTTGCCAGCCCCTGGTCTGTGGCAGTGAAAGCTGTATCTGAAACTGAGCACCTTCAATTAATCAACCAGCATTGACTGAGCACCTTCTGTGCTGCTAGACAGGTACAGTGGAACCATTCTATAATCCAGATAAGACTTGGGTGAAACAGGAAACATGACATTATATGTAGCAGCATTATGTGTGACATAATAAAGACTTAACTTGTACCAAACATATGTTTAGAAAATAAGATGTACAGGCCGGGCGCAGTGGCTCAAACCTGTAATCCCAGCACTTTGGGAGGCCAAGGCGGGTGGATCACAAGGTCAAGAGATCAAGACCATCCTGGTCCACATGGTGAAACCCCGTCTCTACTAAAAATACAAAAAATTAGCTGGGCACGGTGGCGCGTGCCTGTAATCCCAGCTACTCAGGAGGCTGAGGCAGGAGAATTGCCTGAACCCAGGAGGCAGAGGTTTTGGTGAGCCGAGATCGCGCCATTGCACTCCAGCCTGGGTAACAAGAGCGAAACTCCGTCTCAAAAAAAAAAAAAGATGTATTAATGTGATGAGTCAAACAGTATGTGGAAAGGGTGCTTGCACAAGAGAAAGGTCACTGTGAAAGGATGAGCAAAGACACAGAAATAGAAGGCATGGGTGAGGGTGAAGAAGTGGGGAAGAGGAGCAATAAAACATTGCAGGAATATATAATTAGAAGTCATTTGATGCCCTCATTTTACACATTTCCCTCACTTTATATTCATGCATACTTCTGTACAGTGATAAACATCAGTATAATAATAGCTTACACTTAAGTAGCTTTGTGTGCCAGTCACTCTTACATAGATGAACTCTTAAATCCTCACAACACTATGACGTAGGTAATATCATTATTTTCATTTTAGAGATAAAGAAACTGAAGCATGAGAAGTTAACTTATTTACCCAAGTTCATGAAGCTAATAAGTGTCAGTCAGAACTCAAAATTAAGTGATCTGCATTCAGAGACAAAATTTTTAATTGCTGTGCCTTTCATTATACCCATATTATTTATGTGTCTCTCCCAATCTAGATTATGACTTTCACAGTGGCAGGATTTATTCTGTTCACTCTATATATCCAGCACCTCACACAGTGTCAGACAAGTGAATTAGTTCATGAACACTGCATTCCAAAAGGGTCTTGTTCACTGATTATAAGCAGAGCATTTAACTTTTCATGTTAGGAATCTTTCTTGTGTTACAAAGTATAGATGGCCCAACATTACTCAAATACAGCCGGCTAGGCTACTCAAACTATTGAAAAGAAAATATATCAAAATGAAATAGCCCTGCATATTGGAATTACTTTATAATCCTGTAATCTGAAGTGTAAAATATAGAAAAGATAATTAGGGACCAGGCATGGTGGCACATGCCTGTAATCTCAGCACCTTGGGAGGCTAAGGTGGGCACATCTCCATCAAGAGACTGAGACCACCCTGGCCATCATGGTGAAACGTCCTCTCTACTAAAAATACAAAAATTAGCTGGACATGGTGGTGCATACCTGTAATCCCAGCTACTCCAGAGGCTGAGACAGGAGGATCACTTGAACCCTGGGGGCAGAGGTTGTGGTGAGCCGAGATCACGCCACTGCACTCCAGCCTGGCAACAGCGTGAGACTCCAAAAAAAAAAAAAAGAGAGAGAAAAGATCATTTGGAAAAAGGGAGGCTTTTGTAACATCATTAGTCATTTAGAAAAACCAAGTTTGTGCACATTAAGCAGTGTGCTTATAGGAGACTTGCAAAGTCATCTTGATCCAGCCTCCTCGTTGACCAGTGAGAAGACTGAGACCTGGAAAAGTGAAGTGTCATGCTCAAGGACATACTGTTTTTTAGGGGCAGATAATTATTTAATAGGTTCAAAAGATACCTTCATTCAAAGCATGAAAGATTTTCAACCACATTTTTAAAGGATTTCATCCAGAAGGATTATAAAGGATCCAGACACTTGCAGCTTATATTAAACCATTTTTTCAGAAATTCTTTTCTTTTTTCTCCCTAAGATAGAGTCTCACTCTGTCACCCAGGCTGGAGTGCAGTGGCATAATCTCAGCTCGCTGCAACGTTTATCTCCTGAGTTAAAGCGATTCTCCTGCCTCAGCCTCCAGAGTAGCTGGGATTACAGGCACACGCCATCACTCCTGTGTAATTTTTGTATTTTTAGTAGAGACAGGGTTTCTCCATGTTGGCCAGGTTAGTCTCAAACTCCTGGCTTCAAGTGATCTTCCTTCCTTGGCTTCCCAAAATGCTGGGATTACAGGTGTGAGCCACCTCACCCAGCCCAGAAATTCCAATTACTAAAAATTTAATTGTTTTTAAGATAGAATTTCCTAAAACTTTAACCAGCTATTCAGTCTTTCTGGCTTACTATCATTTTAAAAATCAAATATAAAAATTGGCACTTTTGTTATGATTAACTGCAGTTTTAAAATGAAAAAATCTTACTCAAATACTTGGTCTTTGGGATCAAAAAGTCAATCTAAATAACCATTCTTATCTCCAGAACATTTTTTTCAGCCCAAGCTATTCCAATTGTTGGAAATTGTCTTTACTTGGAATAAAACCCAGACATGTTGCATGATCCAACTCAGCTGGCTGTGCTCGTGCGGTGGTAGTAATGGTAGTGGCGATGACTGGAAAGGGACTGACATTAACTGAGCATTCCTATGTGGCATGCACTGAAGCACATTACGGGAGTGATAGAATCTTCACACAACCCCAAAAGAATACATATTATTACTACTGTTTATTATTACTATCTTCATTTTACAGATGAGGAAACCAAGGATAAAATATCTGTAACCCAAGGTTTCAGAGTTGGCAATTTAATTAGGACATCAACCTCTAGTTTCCACTAATAGCACACAGAGTTATTTAGATCAACTCTTCTGTTTAAATATGCTGGCTAATTTTTTTTTTTAACCATCTCAAATGCACTGAAGAGCTAAAAAGACAGTGCGCTACTCCTGGGACAAGTTTTGAATGAAATCCTACCACAGAGAGGAAAGTAGAATAGGAGCCCCATCACTGCTTATTCCTGAGGGCATTTGCCTGAATCACAGTCAGGCAAGAGTGGCAGTGGCCAGGTTTCAGGGCCCGCCTAAGTAAGAAGGTCTCAGGAGAGATCTCTGTTCCATGCCGAAAGCCTAAATGGCTAACCTCAGTGTAAGAGCAAACTAGATCTAAAACTGCTCCTCTTCCCACAGTCCCAGGAAACTGAAGAGGAGGTATCTGGAGCTAAGCAGAGAAGCAGAAGAAATAGGAAAAGTGGAACAAGCTGTGAACATAGCCTAGCCCTGGCACAGATTTGCACCCTGGGTGTATGTATACATGTCCTGGGTTAGACAGGGCACTTCATGCTGAGAAGTGGTTTGAGGCAATCTCCACGTTAGGCCTCAGAATACCTCTCCAAAATTTTTCTTTCTTTCTTTCTTTTTTTTGAGACAGAGTCTTGTTCTGTCGCCAGGCTGTAGTGCAGTGGCATAGTCCCGGCTCACTGCAACCTCCACCTCCTAGGTTTAAGCAATTCTTCTGCCTCAGCCTCCCGAGTAGCTGGGACCACAGGCGCATGCCACCACTCCTAGCTAATTTTTGTATTTTTAGTAGAGGTGGGGTTTCACCATGTTGGCCAGGATGGTCTCGATCTCTTGACCTTTTGATCCACCCACCTTGGCCTCCCAAAGTGCTGGGATTACAGGCGTGAGCCACTGCGCCCGGCCTCAAAATTTTTCTTTTAAGAGGTAAAACTAGCAAGCAAAGAGAACTGGGCACACAAGCAAAGAGAACTTCAGCCACCTGAAGAAGATCAGCAGGAACAGCAGGCAGCAGAAACAGATGCATACAGACTTAAGATCACAAATTTTTGAAGTAACATAGTAGATTTTTAAAGTCCTAAACAAAACTTCGAGATTAAAATTTAAAACTCACTGTATTTGATAGCATGTTAGACATAGGAGAAGAGAGAATTGGTGAACTGGAAGATAGATCCGAATTCAAGCAGTCTAACTCTAGAGCCTGTTTTAACCAGTGTTCTGTCTGCCTACACTGGGATCTTGCCAATGAAAAAAAAATCTTCATCACTTTTGATACATATTTTGACTATACACTAGCCTGAAGTTTTTGTGCCTATTTTGTTAATTTTCAAGGTAGCCTGAGTCTGAACAGAAATTCCTTTCTTGGAAGAGATAAGGGATATTCCTTGGTAACTTCCTGCTTTTGACAAATATCGTTGTAAACAGACAGCTCTGGAATTAATTAACTAAATGTGGATTCTTGTCAAGGCTGAGTCACAGAGGGCATTGAGGGAGTATAGTGTGGGCACCAGCCTGAAGGACTGCTCTTTAAGATCTTCTATAAATTCTACTTATGAGATCATCACCCCTCTTTACTGTTCTTATTAAGAACAGGTCAGAGTTTTTTGTTTCATTTGTTAGCTTGTCACTTAAACCTCACTACGAAGGTGTTTTAGACAAGAGTCATGTTTTTCCTATTATTTAGCTTTTCACACTGAGGACAGCTGTCATGTGAGAAAGTAACCTCAGTTTTAGCTTTTTAGCTGGTAAATATCCATCACAGAGATTCTGTCAACAATGTGATACCTGGTAGCTGGTTTTGTTTTTTTTTTTCCAAGGGAGAGGACGGAGCAAGCCACCTTGGCTTCAGGTGTGAGAACAGCTTTGAATTGTGCAGCCTCAGGCCGTCATATCCTGGCTGCATAAATTCAGAATGTTTTGGTGCTTATCTTGTGTCTAAATCACTTCCAGGGGCCCGGGCATATTTCCCAATCTCTGTCTACCTTAAGAATTGTTGAGGATAGACACGTGGAGCTTGCTGTCGGCTTTTGCTGAGCATTCTTGCTCAAGCACTCCATCACAGCAGTAATCTTGTTTCATTAGCTTATTGCAAGAATCATTTCCCCAAAGAGGGGTCATCAGAATCTCACCCTTAAAAGAGTTCTCTTGGCCGGGCGCGGTGGCTCAAGCCTGTAATCCCAGCACTTTGGGAGGCCGAGGCGGGTGGATCACGAGGTTGAGAGATCGAGACCAACCTGGTCAACATGGTGAAACCCCGTCTCTACTAAAAATACAAAAAATTAGCTGGGCATGGTGGCGTGTGCCTGTAATCCCAGCTACTCAGGAGGCTGAGGCAGGAGAATTGCCTGAACCCAGGAGGCGGAGGTTGTGGTGAGCCGAGATCGCGCCATTGCACTCCAGCCTGGGTAACAAGAGCGAAACTCCGTCTCAAAAGAAAAAAAAAAGAGTTCTCTTATTTGCCGTCTAATATCTGTGAACATTATCACTTTTTCTATTTTTTCTTTTTAAATTTAATTTGATTTTTCTGTGCTTTATTATCAGCTTACAGTTTGCATTTGTTTTGATAGTTCAGTGGGCAAATGTAATGAGTGTGTTTAACCTCCTTTTTGTTCCTGCCCAGATATTTTGTGTGTGGGCTCCACTTGTGTGTGTGTGTGTGTGTGTGTGTGTGTGTGTTCTGTATTCTGGATGAAATGCTTGATACCTGTCAATCAGCAGAATGAAAAAATGGAGAGAGGAAGGAAAAAAGGGCAGGGAGCAGGGCAACACTTAATAATTCTGGAGGGTTTTAGGACTTTCATATTTGTTGGAAGTTCTTGATGGACATGAATAGCAATGTATGAGGAAGTTATATTAGAACTCTCTAAGGAACTCATTTGTTCATGAAGTAAACATGTATTGCCTCCCTTCAGTCAGCATGCATTGACTGTGTACCTGTTGTGTATCAGGCATGGTACTAGCTGCCTAGTACTTTCTTGGCCTCTTAGGAAGAACAGACTAGAAAACAAATGATTTTACAGCACAGTGTGATAAATAATAAGATATGAACAGCATTTGAATGAAGTACAGAAGCAGGAATTTATAATTCTGCTATAGGAGTAGAGAACGGTTTTACCTTACACAGGAGCTGTGTGAGACGTGCTCGTTAAGCAGAGAAGAGGAAGGCAGGGAGATCTAAAAGGTCATCGTCTCAGCAGGGAACATGGAAATGTTTAGTGACTGGAACTAAGTGGACCAAAGAATCACCCAGAGAAATTTTTTTAAGTGAGGGTCTCTAGCCTTGCCCCCAGAGATTCTGATTCTGGAGGTTCATCTGTATTAATAGTCAGCACGTCAGACGTTCTGTGATGGGTATTCCAAAGACTGCACTTTGAGAAATACTGACCAGCTCAAGACTGTGCTTGGCTCTTCTGACTTCTAGTTGTGGGGTCAGTTTGACTCACTGGAAAGAACTCTAATTTTGCAGTCAGACATAACTGGCTTTGAATCCTGGCTCTGCTCCTGGACAGTGAATTTAATGCTAACACATAGCTCTAGACTTGAACAAGTCACTTCCTAAGACTCAGTTTTTACATTTGTAAATTGAGGGCAATAATACCTTCTTTTGCAAAATCATTATGAAGCAGAACATGCAAAGTACCTAGCCCAGTATTTGCCACTAGTAAATAGTCATTAAATGATAGCTATTACTGTCCTCTTTGTTTACTGGATACAGCACTCATAATGGTTAGTAATGTAAACTAAACCTCTCAGTGCCTCGTTTTCTTCATCTGTTAAATGGGGCTGATAAAATGGTAGCAATGTTACAAGGATGTTTGTGAATCTGAAATGAGACGTGCATGAAAAACACTAAAACAAGGCCTGCTACATTAGAAATTCTTTAATAAATGAATTTCACACATAATTTTATTGTTGATGTTGGTAATGTCAGTCCTGTAACTGGCCAGCCAGTTCCATATGATACATCTTAGAGTCTATTGAATTGGCTGTTGGGGTGTAAGTTATGATCTCAGCCCTGCCATGGTTAGCCTGTAATCTTTAGCAATCATCCCTCCTTTGTGAGACCTCAGTTTTTCTTATTCATTTTTTCATGTGTTCATTCCAAAGTCTTCTATGAAGTACTGTATTGAATGCCAAATCCTAGAGGGATAGATCAGGCTGCATCCATTCAGTATGAAATTATTCCTGCTGAAGCAGAGAGTGTTTATGTAGCATCTTTTAGACCAGGTGTTTGCTATACGTCTTGAATGGAGGACCAAGAGTCCCAAATGGACCTTTCAAACTCTTTGTTGGTTCATATACAAAGAAACTCTGATCAGTGGAATGAAATGTTGAACAGTAGAATCTGGGTAAAGCATATATGAATGTGCTTTGCTTTAATCTCATTCTTTCAAATTTACTGTAAGTTTGAAATTACTTCCAAGTAACAAATTAAAAGAAACTCTACTGTTCCAGACCCATCTAGTGCAAATAAGTGATAATATATAATGTTGTATAATATGTTACTCCACAACCAGGACCACTGGATTTGGAGTGGGAAGATCTGGGTTCTAGTCTCAGCTCATTCACTACCACTGCAGTAGGACCTTGCCTAGATTACGTCACTACTCTGAGCCTCCATCTTCTTCATCTGTGAAATGACTCCCAAAGTCTTCCTCACGGGAACTTGGGGAGGATTCAATAATATATCTATACATAATTTCTATATATTATGTGTATACTACATAGACAAATACATACACACACACAAATAAAACTGTTTTGTCATCCTGAAATGCTGTGCAGATGTTCGTGGCTCTTCACCTGTGCTGAGCTCATGTCCAGTGTGTGTGTTTCCTGGAGTAGCATCCAGCAACTCACAAGCTCCCTTCCGTTTTCTTGCAGCCTGAAAGAATCTCAGGGGAGCAGTATGGAATTCATTCTGATGTCTGGAGCTTAGGAATCTCTTTTATGGAGGTATGTTGTTTGCACATAGACTCTTCTGTGCATATCTGTACTGATATTTTCAATCAGGAAAGTGAAGATTTTGAAAGAATAAGATAAAATAAACCTTCAGCATGTTATATAGATGTATGCACAGAGTTTGACCATAAAGTCTTTGATTCCTTGTGTGGCTTGTCAACTGACTCCGGAGGTTATTTTAAAGCACTGTTTATTATAGATTACCTGTGTAAGACTTGCCTGGAGCACTTGTTAAAAATACAGATTCCTCAGGCTGGGCGAGGTGGCTCACACCTGTAATCCCAGCACTTTGGGAAGTGAGACGGGCAGATCACCTGAGATCAGGAATTCAAGACCAGCCAGACCAACACGGAGAAACCCCGTCTCTACTAAAAAATACAAAAAATTAGCTGGATGTGGTGGCACATGCCTGTAATCCCAGCTACTCGGGAGGCCGAGGCAGGAGAATCGCTTAAACCTAAGAGGTGGAGGTTGCACTGAGCCGAGCTAGTGCCATTGCACTCCAGCCTGGGCAACAAGAGCAAAACTCCGTCTCATAAAAAAAAAAAGGTTCCTCAGCCGCATTCAGAACCAACTAAATCCAAATCTCTGAGAATCTGCATTGTTAACCTGTTCCCTTGGTGATTCTTATACACACTAAATCTGGAGAACCTGTGTTCTAAAAGAGGGATTCCAGAAAAATTCTGTGCCCTGTTGGAATGCATATATATATAACTTCCAAAGGTGATTAGTTTAAAAGGTACAGCCCTGCTCATTTGGATGTATAAGTTCTATAGGTTTGTTTTGAAAGGAAAAACAATCACCTCATTATAGTATAGTCATATCACATGTGTATGTGGGTTAAGGGGCGGTGCGATATGATGGAGAGGGACGGGGAAGTGGAAGTATGCATTTAGCACAATTGCAATATCTACTCTTTATAGCTGTATTTAGAATGGACTTTATCTTAGTGTACTAGATATAGCTCCTCTAGAACACTATGCTATGCTTTTTAAAATATAAAATGATTATTGATTTATAAGAAAATGCATATAAATTATATTAGAAGGACATATGGCTCAGTTTGAATTATAATAGTACAGAACCTGTATACTGACCAGTGCTTCAAAAATTTTCATTTAAATTGATTCAGAGAAAGAAGGACTTTTCTTTTTTTTCTTAATAGAGATGGGGTCTTGCCATATTGCCCAGGCTGTTCTTGAACTCTTGGGCTCAAGTGATCCTGCTGCCTTGACTTCCCAAAGTGCTGGGATTTCAGGCAGGAGCCACTGTTCCTGGCCAGTACTTCTTATAATAGAAAAGTAGAAAGGACTCTTTAAATAATATCATAGAGTTACAATCATGATTTTATAACTTTTTTTTTAGTCAAATATTTTTTCTGCTATTTTTGTAATGCTTGAATGCAATTGTATTTGTAAGGAAATAATCTTCAAACTCAATTCACCTGCACAGTAGAAAGAAAGCAAAAATAAAGTGTTCAACGTTTATTAAATCATCATCTTCTTCTTCTTCTTAAGAGGGAATCTAAGAGGAAATACAATATGTATGCATCAGCTGAGAGGTTAGCAATAGTGGTGGTGAGATCTCAGAACTGAGTCTCCCAGCAATCCTCAAGGGCTTATTCTATTTAGCCGGTTTCAAGGCAAACTAGTGTTTTTGATTTGCGGGACTCAGGATTGCTGTGATACAATTTCCTTTTGCATATTTTAAGTTGCTGTCATTTATTTTATAAATGACTGGATATAGTGTAAGACAGTTGAGAAGTTACATGGTGTAGAGATAAGAATCCAAGATTGGGAATGGAAGACCCGGATTACAGTTCCAGGTTTGCTACTAGTTTCTTAGGTGACCCTGTTCTTCACTGGGCCTCAGTGTCTTCATTTGTAAAATATTGACCTCTAAGCCCCTTTCCAGACTAACATTCTGTGACTCTGCTGCTGCTCATTTTTTCGTTTTCTTTCCTTAGCTTTCACACAGCAACTCTAGAGTTGTGTGACCAAGAGTGATAAAATGGCATAAAATGCAGAGGCCTGGCACTACTGGAAGAGAGCATAACTGTTAGATTTAAGATTTAGAGCACATATAAATGTTCACCATTCATCCCTTTTACATTCATTTATGCGTTCATGTGTTGAGCTCCTGCTATGCCTGCTGTATAGGCAATGGGGAGAAAGTAATGAAAGGACATGCAAGTCTTGGCTGTCATGGAGTTCCATTTGGGGATGGCTGGGGCATGAGGGGAAGGACAGAAAACAAAGGGCTAAGTAAATATGTAATTTGTCAGGTGGTGATAAGTCCTATGGAGAAAAAGAAAGCACACTAGTCCTCTGATAAAGTACCACTCGAGCAGATACTTGAATGCCACCTGATAACAAGTTCAAAGGCACCAAATAGAGGGCACTCGGCATATTTAAGGGAGAGACCATTATGACTTGAGTGGAGTTAGCAAGGAAAAAGTGAGAAAGAATAAATTTAGAGAGGTAGCCAGGGGCCAGGTCAAATATAGCCTTGTAGGCCATGCTAAGGACTTTAGGTATTACTCTTAGAAGAAAGGATCTGGGCCGGGCGCGGTGGCTCACGCCTATAATCCCAGCACTTTGGGAGACCGAGGCTGGTGGATCACGAGGTCAAGAGATCAAGACCATCCTGGTCAACATGGTGAAACCCCGTCTCTACTAAAAATACAAAAACTTAGCTGGGCTAAGCAGGCAGAGGTTGCGGTGAGCCGAGATTGCGCCATTGCACTCCAGCCTGGGTAACAAGAGCAAAACTCCATCTCAAAAAGAAAAAAAGAAGAAATGATCTGACTTAAATTTTCCCAGGATCACTGAGTGCTCTGTGGAGCATGACTATATAGAGGCAGACATGGAGTCAGGGAGATCAGTTTAGGTAGGTAGGAAGACAGGTGCTCAATAAATATGACGTAGTTATATTTATGTTGCATATTGAAATATGGGTCTGTCTGCCAGTATTTTGCCGGGTGCTAGGGGTGCAAATATGAATGAAAAGAGACTCTTTGTAGTGTAGGGAAGGAGACTGCCATTGGTGTATTTGGGTTTTGTTGATGATATTCATTTATCCTGGAGATAAACTATTGAATATTCTCTGGAAGACTGAAGAAAACAGACTCATTGAATTTTTGGGATCAAAGAGGATTAGGTATAGAGAACTGAGTGAAAAAGTGTCAGCATTGAGTGTGGGGAGAGACCATTATGACTGAATGGTCATAATGCCTGAATGCCAGAAGGACTGTGTTGGCTCATGTGGTAAAGTAGAGAGCAGATAACCAGATGGTCAGGAGTGAAGGCCAGGAAGAGCTCGGCTTCTTGATGCTCCTTGTATTTTAAAATGGCTGGTAAGGAGCCGGGTGTTACAGCAGGCGGAAGAGATGTTATTAGAGATTATGATCATCAGAGAGGGTTGTTGAGCACCTCTGTACATGATGCTTAACTAAATGCCTTCAGAAGGAACTATGGGATTGTAGCCCCTGCCCTTTAGGGGCTTATTACTCCCATGCAACATGTTACCAACCCAAGTAATAGACCAGTAAGTCATTAAGGAATAGTGTAAGGCCCCTGGCGTATGTTTTATACCTAATCTGTTTGGGGTCCAAGGTAAAGAAAAGCATGTGATAGGGAAGAGAAGTAGGAGGTTTTGAGCCTATAGATGAGAAATTGTCAGGATTCAGTAGTGAAGATAACAAGGGAACCCCAAGGTTCTTGTTTTTTTCTTAAGGGCCAGTGTGATGAGAGCATTACCTGAAGGGATTAGGAAGTTAGTCCAAAGGAAGTACTTGAAGGCCAAGATTCTTCTGTGTTTTTACCATAGTATGGTAGGAATAGAAGTGGTAAATACAATTTAAAATCACTATAGACGAAAGTGTGAATCTTAATAGCATTTTAGAATCTGAGGAACAAACTGCGTTCTGTAACATAGTCAACACTTTCTAGGAATTGCTCCTCTTCTGTTTCCTCTCATTTTAAAAAACAAGATTCTCTTTCTAGTCGAAACTTTCCTTCCTTCAATTCTTAAGCACTTGCCCTGTGCCAGGTCCTGGAGAGAGGAGCACACAGAGCTGAGGAGAGCCCACCTCTGGTAGAGAAGACAGGCACATGTAGCCCAGAATAGTATGATGAGTCTTCAGTAAAGATATTTACGAATGACTCTGAGCCACAGGGGGAAGGGGGTGGGATTTCACACAAAGGAGTTGACATTTGAGGGAGATTGGTCTCGAACAGACTTTGCCATTAGGAGAAAGAGGGAAAAGATGGAGGATCCCTTCCCCATTTCCCAGCACACTCTAAGATACGGATCCCTGTAAATACTTATGGAGAGATGAAATGTCAAATTTTTATGTGAAGTCTCCCCTAGTGTAGTTTCACTACCTGTTTGTGTGCATGCCTTCTTCAAAAGTGTTTTCAGTTAAATAGTTTCTTCTCCTAGGGTACCTGTGGTAGAGAAAAAAATGGGTAAAAATATAGGAAACTGAGCAAAGGAATTTCCCTGAAATTGCACAGGAATCAAATAGAGACCAAGCCTGGTGGCTCGCTCCTGTAATCACAGCACTTTGTGAGGGTGAGGCAGGAGGATTGCTTGAGGCCAGGAGTTCAACACTAGTCTAGCAACATAGCAAGACCCCGTCTTTAAAAAAAAAAAAATTTTTTTTTTTTTTTCATTTAGCCGGGATTGGTGATTAGTACTCGCTATGTGGCAGGCTGAGGCAGGAAGATTGCTTGAGCCTAAGCGTTTGAGGCTGCAGTGAGCTATGATTGCATCACCACACTCCAGCCTAGTCAACAGAGAAAGATGCAGTCTTTTTTTAAAAAAAAAAAAGGTTGCAGGGGCAGGTGCAGTGGCTCACGTCTGTAATCCCAGCACTTTGGGAGGCCGAGGGGGGTGGATCATGAGATCAGGAGTTCAAGACCAGTCTCGTCAACGTAGTGCAACCCCATCTCCACTAAAAACATAAAAAATTAGCCAGGTGTAGTGGTGTG